TATATATGCCTCCCCCATGTGTGCGAAAATAGACTGCCGTAAAGAACGGTTTAATTGAAAAATAAAAACTCTATTAAATTCTTACAAATATAATTGAAAGAACAACATAAACTGTGCATAATAATTTGCAGTCATACTTATCCATACTGGCTATATAATAATGACTATACTATAATAATGGCAAACAAGCTGACGGCCCACCTGATGGAAAGTGGTAACCGTCGCCTGTAACATGAGCAGTACCGTGGACATAACAGAGTATACTGTTCCGCCCATGGTACCCTAATGCGTTGCCATTGTTGAACACTCAGGTGTTATTCCTCTGTACCCAGTAAATTCACTGCAATATCCCATTTTTTTTAAACCGAAACACAGCCATGCAAACACAACTTTGATTTTTGTACAGGTCGTCACTTTATATATAAATAAATCTATAATATATATAAACACAGGGGGCAAACGAGCATGTAGCTCACCTGATGGTAAGTGACTACCGCCGCCCATGATCACCCACAACACCAGCGGCATTGCAGGTGTGCTGCCGGCCTTTTAAAAATGAATATACTCTTTATATTAACTATATATATATATATATATATATATATATATATATATATATATATATATATATATATATGAAGGTTATGTTGTCGTATCGGTTCGGAAATACTGCTGCTGGAAGTTGATTCCATGAATGGAATGGTTGTGCGTGGTAGAAAGTGCCTTGAAAAACGCACGGTGGAAGACTGCCACTCGTCCAGATGATTGGGATGAAACTTCAGTATGTGGCGGGTTGTACGGTGGTGAAAATCAGCAGCAGGTATCAATCCGAACAATTCCTCAGAACACTCCCCATGATAAATTCGGTAGAAGATGCACAGAGATGCAACATCTCTGCGCAGTTTCAGTGCCGGCCTTTTAAAAATGAATATACTCTTTTCTTGAAGGTTATGTTGTCGTATCGGTTCGGAAATACTGTTGCTGGAAGGTCAAGTCGGACAGTAAGGTGTTGACTATCGATAATTCGAGCCGCCCGAGCTACATTTAGTGGGGGGTTGTCCTACACTGCGTTTGCCCGTACGCGGTCGTCACTCAAGAACGTTTTTTCCACATCGGTTGTCGGTTCTTCGAGCTATGTGACCAGCCCATTGCCACTTCAGTTACTATGTTATTATATCGGCTGTTAATTGTCCACTGCTGAGCATGGTCCTTGCTCCATAAAAAGGGTTTTGCCAGTAGTTTCCATATTTGGTAGGCGGATTGGCAACCGTTCTACCAGAGGGAGACTTTGTACAAAAGTCGATTGCTTGGGTACCTCTGTCCCATTCGTGTTTTAACCGTGAAACAGTTGTGTTTGCATGGCTGTGTTTCGGTTTAAAGGGTGGGATATGGCGTGAATTTACTGGGTACAGAGGAATAACACCTGAGTCTTCAGGAATGGTAACGCATGGTGAGTATCATGGGCGAAACAGTATACTGCAAGCAAACACAACTGTTGGGGGGAAAGGTATTGTTAGCAATGGAGTTCGACAGCTTTCGACGACCCATTGTTAGCAATTTCCCTATTAGGTCGACCTCCACGTGGTTCCCCCTGGAAGCCATCATGAACAATTCTTATTGAATTCGTCACGATGGGCTAACTGACCTGCTTCATTCTCACCTATCATCCTTCACTGGTGCCCCGCCGGTGTATACCGTTAGCGCGGGTGGGGTTACCATTTCATTATCACCCATTAAAAAAAACATCTGCTTTACGGTTGAAACACGAATGGTACAGAGGTGCCCAAGCAAACGACCTTTGTAAAAAGTCTCCCTCTGGTAATTAATGAAAAGGTAACCGTTTGTTGAATTTATTAAAGAAATATTGTACTTCTCGAATAAGACTAGTGACGAAACAAAATATTCAATCAATTAATTGTTTTTTTGATTTGTTATCTATCACAAATCTAGGTCAACAGTAGACTGCCTTATAGTCGGGTTAATTTTTTGTTTGTTATTTTTATCAAGTTATTTTGTTGTTGTTTGTTTGTTTTTACTTGTTATAGTTTAGTAAAACTGGTTCGTTCAAGAATATTGTAATTAATTGTATAATATTGCTATGTTCATTGTGATTGTTATTCACTCGCATTTTTTTTTAAATTTAGTTTTTGAACAAAAGGCCACAGCTGAGTTTCTTGCTTGATGTTCGTAACTGAAATTGCATTACGAATTGGACGGTAGATAAAAAAATGACTATTCTAAAATGCTTATAATTATGTTTCATCATCATCATCATATCATCTTTTAATTGTCCACTGCAGAATAAAACCCTTCCTAGGGAGGTTATGCCAGTACTTGTCACGCTTCGCAGACGGATTGGCAACCGCAACTAGGTTTTGGATATGTATTAAAATGGACGCTGATGTTCAACCCTCGCCCTCACTTACTCGCATTCTACATCCACGGGAAAAGAAGGGGTGGCTTATTCTATGCCGAGACCACACAGGATACACTTGAATAAAAATATTTTTAATTATTTAGTTTTACTGTTTTATTGTTCTATTCTATACTATTATAGTTAGCAAAGGAAGACTTTTTGAAAAAGTCATCTACTTGGGTTTAACGAACTGTATTCTAAAGAACTCTTCAATATTTTTTTTTTATTCAACTTAGAATGGCAAACAAGCTAACGGCCCACCTGATGGAAAGTGGTAACCGTTGCCTATAGACATGAGCAGTACCATGGACATAACAGAGTATACTGTTACGCCCATGATACCCCCTATGCGTTGCCATTCCTGAAGACTCAGATGTTATTCCTCTGTACCCTGTAAATTCACGCCATATCCCACCCTTCAAACCGAAATAAAGCCATGCAAACACAACTGCTTCACGGTTGGAACACGAATGGAACAGAGGTAACCAAGCAATCGACTTTTGTACAAAGTCTCCCTCTGGTAAATATGATATCTACATCTTTCACTATCGTACCGTTCACCATCAGCAGGAAATATATCCTCACACCTTGAAACTAGAATGGTCACGCACAGTGCGGTTTCAGAGAAGTTTCCTCCCACGAATAATCCAGTTGTGGGATGATTTTCCTGCCAAGGCTTTACTTAGAGACTACACTATGGGTTTCTTTAAAAAGTGTATATTAAAGAATCTTAAGGATCGACAAAGCAGGCGTTACATCTCTAGTGTTCGTTCAAAGATTTAGTAACCCCGATTACCATCAGACGGGTCTTGTTTGCCACCGCAGTGGTTTCAAAAAATGTTTTTCTACGTAGGCCTGCAACGAAGCAGCTGATGAAAAGGTGAGATTTTTTAGTAAAATTACACGGTACTGTCACTTAATCCTTTAGTCTAACGAATGGCAATAAGTGAGTGTTCGTGGCCATTACTCAAGCATTACCATTCTTGGACAACACACTGTATTCCATGATGTCCATGGTTAATAGGCGACAGTTATCAGTTTCAATCACGTGGCCGTTAGCTTGTATGTCATTTTATATTGCGTAAATAAATAAATAGTTTCAAAAAATTACAAACACAGAGACAAACTGGCTACTCTTTATATGAGTACTAGCGACCCGCCCCGGCTTCACACGGATACAATGCCGCACCGCTATGTCCCTGCATTTTAAATCTGTAATATTTTCGGAAATATTTATTTAAATTACATGTTTACAACATTATTACATGGTTACAAGGCCACATTGATCTATATTAAATGGACAATGTATTTAAGATACTTAATTGGGTAAAAATTAATGCTGTAGTGCTTTAAATCATTTCGTAAATAAGCAATTTTTTCCCGTAAAATGTAAAGGATAAAAAATGCTTATTGGGGGTTAACCTTAAGAGATAGACATATACCATCGCGGACTTTTTTATTGACTGTTTTAAGACGTACAATACTGTAGTACATTATTTTGATGTATCTTGTGGGGTTCAACTATCGTTTGCAATGTAAGCGCAAAAAATGTTTTTATTTACGACATGACATTAGAAATCTCTAAATATATCATTGTTTTTCTACAATATTATGCATATATTATACATATAAACTGAAGGTTTATAAGTATAACACATGCAATACAAGTCTTGAATCACTGTCTATTAAAAAAACCGCTTCAAAATCCGTTGCGTAGTTTTAAAAATTTAAGCATACATAGGGACGGACAGACGGCGACAGTGACTTTGTTTTATACTATGTAATGAAGTATCATAATTATTATACACACATAATCCACGTGGACTTTGATTATAAATTGACCAATATATAAATGATAGGAGTGCATTAACTTTACGGAATTTTATCTGTGTCAATTTCATGGAAATATAACATGCACACCTAGCTCCCATTGGTATAGATAAAAGTCATAGAACATGAAATGATCTAACCAACGGATCGATAGCCTTTTAATTTTTTTTTCATTGACAATTGTCGACGATCGGCGCCTTACTGTCCGGCTCGACCCACTGAAACTGCGTAGAGATGTTGCATCTCTGTGCATCTTCTATCGAATTTATCATGGGGAGTGCTCTGAGGAATTGTTCGGATTGATACATGCTGCAGATTTTCACCATCGTACAACCCGCCATAAACTAAAATTTCATCCCAACCATCTGGACGAGTGGCGGTCCTCCACCGTGCGTTTTTCAAGGCACTTTCTTCCACGCACAACCACTCTTTGGAATCATACTTCCAGCAGCAGTATTTCAGAACCGATACGACAACATAACCTTCAAGAAAAGAGCATATTCCTTTTTAAACGGCCGGCAGCACACCTGCAATGCCGTTAGTGTTGTGGGTGATCATGGGTGGCGGTAGTCACTTATCACCAGGTGAGCCGCATGCTCGTTTGCCCCCTGTGTTGTAAATAAAAAAAAAAACCATTTAACATCAACATTCCCAAGTTCGCTTGTTACAAGTAGGTAAATATAAAGTCTACTTCAGATCTTGAAAATCTTTATCTCGCAGACAAATGATTTCATTTTTGGATTAACATGATAAGAAATAACTGATAAAATATTGGAATTTTGTATGGTATATTTACATTTATTGAAGTACCGATGAAGTGTCAACATGGCCGCGATGAAAATATTCCCGATTGTGATTGCATTGTGTCTTGGAGTAGTTAGCGCGGGAAAACATGATATTTATTCTGGGTAATTCTTTTCTATATCTTTTATAATAGTATAGATAATAAGATATAGCAGATAACGGTATTTAGAGTGATGATTTTAAAACTGTTTAATGTCAGAAAGGTGGGGCTGAGTATCGCGCCCTGAAGAACACCAAGGTTGTATACATGTTTTTGGTAATTTAATATATTGATATACAATTAAAAACGATGTTGTTGAAACTAGAAATGCTATAAGATGGATTTAAATATTACAACAACATTATCTGATGCTTTAATTCACAAATAATATCATGCATTCTCCAGAAAACTGGTATATCTAATTGTGATATCAAAAAGCACGTTGTTTCCGTGTCTCCTTCAAAATTTATATCCATAATAAGGTCACGATATACATATATAGTCCTTAGATTACATAAATAGAGCATTGAGCCTCAAAAACGATTTTTTGACTTTTTTTTATATACTTACACACACACAATGTATCTATATTTAATTATATATAAATAAAATAAGTTTTTACGCATTACAAAGGTGCAGTATTTATAGGACCAAAAAAAAAAATATAGGAGTTATAAAGGAATCACTCATAACTATTTATCATGCAAAATTGTATGAAAAAGTTGACCCGTTTTTCTCGAACCATTTCTATGGAGACACTCTATCTGTATAATCTAAGATATAGTCAGTCTAAATCGTTCCAAAAGTTACAGTCTTTTCGGTTTCTTGTTATAACCCGAGTTCTATCACTATATTAATCATACATTATAATGTTATTTGGATTTTTACAGCTACACAACCTATAAAGTATCACTCCGGGACAGATCAGACCAGGATATACTTCACGACTTGGAGTTAAAGCTAGACTTAGACGTGTGGCAGCACGGCTTACCTGGAAACGTGGATGCCATTGTTATGGTTTCTCCACAAAACAAGGATGACTTTATAAATCAGTTAGACGAAAATGAAATACCGCACTCTGTACACCTTGAAGATATTGCTAAGTAAGTTTAACGTTATTTAGGCTGAGATAGTTATTTTAATATAATATTAAATTTTCTTCTATGTGTAAGCTTTTGTCATTATTATTCTCCATAAAATTATAAACCAACTTATATTTAGTTTTAATTCTTTTTGTAAATTTACTCTTTATATTTGGTTGATCCTTTTATCATCGCTGTGTCGACGATAGGTATATTTTAGTGATAAGTTTTATTCGAGCCATAATGTTATCAAATATAACGTATATTTCCAAATTATGGAATTTTCTAGAGCATTCGAGGAACATGACGCAAAAATGGAGTCATGGAGAAAAACCCGAAAGGAGAGAAAGGTGTTTGAAGACTACCCACGTTATTCTGAGGCAAGTGGTTTTTTTTTTATAATTGTCTCATTATATTATTTATGTTATAAATAAATATGAATTGGACAAGAAATGGACAAACAGGTTAATTTTTTTTTTTATTTTATGTTGCTAGGTGGACGAGTACTTAATAAATATTGCAGAACAGTATCCCGATTTGGTGACTATAGTCGATGCTGGATTAAGTTTTGAAAATCGTTCTATTAAGTATCTTAAGGTAAGGTAATTAGTTTTTAGTGGAAAGAAATAGTATTTAAGAAAATAGAGTCAAACATGCAAAAAGTTAGATGGGCAATTATAATGTAATATAGGTTCGAATGCTAACCACGAAGTATGCAAAATAGAATGCAAGGTATGCTCTGTAAATATTTATAACGATAAGCGATTACAACAAAACAATATTTTAAAATGTATTTTCTATATGACAATACTGTATTTTCAAATAGTAATTGTAAATTATAGTAAAACTCTTATATTTTGCTGACAGTAACTACAGTTTTAGCAATTTTTAAGTTGATACAGCAATGCATGCATTTTTGTTTTTTGATCTCAAAGATCATCTTCGCCGCTAACAAGAGTCATGAGTATTATAACATATTCTAAGATATTCATTTTATTATTCACCATGTCATCAGATTTTAGATATAATATAAATATAATAAAAACATTATTTTAGAGTCTTGTCATAAATATATTTGAAACCTTCTCAAAATCAGTGTATCTTATAATAGGTTTATTTGTATATATACTTGAACTATCTAGTAAACTTAATTAATACATAACTGCAGATATCAACAACAAATTTTACGGACAACAGTAAGCCAATTTATTTCCTGGACGCGACGATCCACGCCCGAGAATGGGTTACGACTCCAGTGGCGTTGTACTCCATTTATCGGCTGGTGGAGGACTTACGAGATGAGGACAGGGATCTGAGAGAGGACATCGACTGGATCATACTGCCCATAGTGAATCCTGATGGTTATGAGTACACTCACACAACTGTAAGATTTAATTTTATAATGGATGTAATAAAACAAACATGGAAAATTAAGTACATTTTACTTGTAAAAAGAAATGACTATCGTGAACACATGCATATGAGTATACCGATGTTTAACTATATAAAGATATTAAGATTTTTTAAATCTTTATATTTATTAAACGTTAAAGATTTTACTTCGCAACCAACAGTTTTTTGTTCAGCAAAGAAAAACGACAGCTTTAATCGTCATGTAATTTAAATAGAACCAAGAGGGAGTAAATTATCAATTGTGTTAAGAACTGTGAAAATTAATTCTGAATTGAAAATGTACTTATTCCAAAAGAATTTACAAACTTCTTGTTTTGAATCTTGTAAAATCTTTCATTTTAGACACAAGAACTGCCTTTTTTTATGCAACTTAGAATGTCAAACAATCAGATGGTCCACCTGATGAAAGGTGCTAATCGTCATGTATAGACATGAACAGTACCATGGATATAACTGAGTATATTGTGTCGCCCACGATACTCCTCATGCGTTGCCATTCTTGAGGACTATGGTGTTATGCCCCTGCACCTTGTAATTCAATTGCTATATCACACCTTGCAAACCGAAACATAACCATGCAAACACAATTGTTTCAAGGCAGAAACACGAATGAGACAGAGGTAGCCAATCAGACGACTTTTGTACAAAGGCTCCCTCTGGTCTAGTCTAACAATATTGCGTTTATATAATTTTATCCACTGTGTAAATAAATGAATGAATCTGTTTCAGGAGCGCCTATGGCGTAGAACTAGGTCATACTATCCAGAAATCAATGAGACTTGCTACGGAGTTGACGCAAACAGGAACTTTGATGTCAATTTTAACACTGTGGGGATATCGAGCGATCCCTGTGGTAATACGTACCCTGGTCATTTAGCTTTCTCCGATCCAGAGACGAGAATAGTTCGGGATATAATGTTTGAATATTTGGATCGTATTCAGTTATATTTGAATGTTCACAGTCAAGGTTATTTAATATTGTATGGTTATGGAAATCTTACTTTACCGGAAAATTCTATACAGGTTAGTACACTTGAAATCAATACCTGATAATAAATAATAATAATAACCTGGTAACAAAAATTAATTCTTTGTGGTCTGTTAATCTTGGTCTTATTCTAAGAGTTTCCAAATCATTTAATGGTGTTAATGTACCGAAATCAATCATATGGTGGAATAATGGAATAATCATGGTTTACGTCCGAAGAACGACTATGTAGTAAGATCGTACCATGGTGGTATGGTCAGCTACTCATAATGCAGTAATAATATAATACACGATAGATTTGGAAACGAAATAAAAAAATAATTTAGATCATACATCATATAATGGAATAACTAAGGGTTGTTTCCAGATATTCCACGTTGGATCAACTATGGGAGCTGCCATAGATGCTCACAAATTACCTGAGGCAGGATTCTATAGAGTAGGAAACAGTGCGATGCTTCTTTATACCTCTTCTGGTAGCGCTCAAGATTATGGTCAGGTATGATTTATCTACTTGATTTATGGTCATAAACTCTCCAATGAAAGGGACTATGTATGACCCTCAGTTCATTTGCATATGTTGGAAGGCATTGGAGAAGGACTATACCTATCCGTAAATAGATACAGGCTGAAATGGTGATAATGATGATGATTTATTTAAGGACCCTTACTGATGTACAACTAATGACTTACTAGTAGGCATGAGTTTTCTCCTTAAGTAGAGGATATAATTTGTTATTTCTACATTGCTTATTTGGTTTGGTATAGAGGTTTTATTTCGAATACTCCATCTATCCATGTTTTGCATTATTCTATTAATCGCTTTTTAGATAAAAAAAAAAAAACAACGAAGTTTGTATTTTTTCTCCTTTACTCGAAAAATAATTAAATGTAAATATTGGATTTTTAATTTTATAATGTTACGAAAAGACTGGGAGAAATATAAGAAAAATATCAACGCCTCTTGATCCTAGATTGGTTTGTAAAAAGTGTTTGATAAAATGGTTCTTGCAAAGGTGTTTATGTAACAAAAAGAAAATGTCTTTGTATTCTAACTAGTGTCAGAATATTAGTTACTTATAATACCATAAACTAGATTTTACCTGCGATTTCGTCTGTATAACCAGGACTTGGTATAAATGTATTATTTGGTACAGAGTAGGACCTAGGCCACTATTAAAAAAGTTGCAGGTAATTTTAATTGATTGTTTTTTATTAGGCCGTAGGTATACCTTTTTCATATACCTTGGAGCTGCCAGGATATGGATTCGGACATCAAGTACCACCAGAGTATATCAACCAGATCAACTTTGAAACCTGGGAAGGGATTGCAGCCAGCGCTCGACTCTCCAAACTATATTACGAGGCTAGAACAAAAACTAATGTATGAAAGCAAACTTTGTAATTTTAATAAGTAATTAATACTTTGTTAATTTAACAATTCAAAATTAGTATTTAATTTTATGCTTTGTTATAGTTGAAATAAAATTAATTTTCAATCACCAATAAAAAGGGATAAGGTTTTCAAATTTTGTATTGTTTATTTTTTTATTCTTTTATGTCACACATATTGCCTTTTAATATCTTTCCTACGTAGGTGGTAAACAAGTTTACAGCTTGTCTAATGGTAAACGGTCACTGTAGTCATATGCATGTTGCCGACCCTGAAGATTCCTTAATACACCCTTTTTGAAAAACCCCATATGTATTCTCTGAAATAAATATACTACTGGATACCTTTATCCTGAAATTTCTGCTGTGAAGTAGCTACTTCCTATGCACAACTGTATATGTATGGTTATAGTATAAATTAAAATAGAAACGATCTCTACTCAAATAGTTTTGTTTACAAGCTCTTTTAAATCGTCAATGTTTTATTATTGTACTGCTGGGTTCAGATGTTGTTATCTGCTGGGAAGAACCCGCAAGAAACTCTGTTATGTTTTGGCATACCTCTCCACTTCGAACAAAAACATCATGATCCGTGATTGTCACTACTGCAGAAGCAAGTAATGGTTGAACATGTGAAGATATGTTTTCTTTTTTATACAACTTAGAATGGCAAACAAGCTAACGGCCCACCTGATGGAAAGTGGTAATCGTCGCCTATAGACATGAGCAGTACCGTGGACATAACAGAGAGTGGTCGTATGTAGTTAAGTCAAGGCTGTAGGTACCCATGTTTAAGGTAGGGAAAAATAAGTTTTTGGTAGGGCAGAAGCCATAATTAAGCGAATCTGGTTAATTTTCTTGGGGTATTTCGTTTTAAGATAGGGCATTGCCCCTCGACACCCTCCCTCTAGCTACGGCCATGAGTTAAGTAGTTAGGAGTATAATAGTGAGTGTAGTATATATTTTAGTTAAAACGTCCAACTGCCTTTCTTGGAATCACTCTTGATAATAAAACTTAGTTAGCCCTTACATCCAAAACCTTGCAACTAAATTAAGTTTTGCGGTGTATGCTGTACGCAGGGTTTAACAGTATACTAATATTGAGACTGCCAGATTAGTTTATTTCAGTTATGTCCATAGTACCAGAGAGAGACTTTGTACAAAAGTCGATTGCTTGCGTACCTCTGACCCATTCGTGTTTCTACCGTGAAGCAGTTGTGGGATACGGCGTGAATTTACAGGGTACAGAGGAGTAACATATGAGTCCTCAGGAATGGCAACGCATGGGGAGGGAGAGTATCATGGGCGAAACAGTATACTCTGTTATGTTCATGATACTGCTCATGTTTATAGGCGACGGTTACCATTTTCCATCAGGTGGGCCGTCAGCTTGTTTGCCATTCTAAGTTGTATAAAAAAAAAGTATACTGTCCTATGGAATATTATTATGGGGTAAAGCAGCCGACATCCAAAGCATATTTGTATTTTAAAAACGTGTAATTTACGCGATTTATTCCATGAGAATTCGTGAAACACTGAGAGATAAATTTAAAGAAGCACATATTGTCACCGCAGCTTCACAACATATCTTCAATGATATTCATCTTTTAAATGGGCATAAGTTACTTTTTGTTGCTAAATTAAAACTTGAAAGGAGTGAAATAAGGGATGAGATTTTGTATGGATAATCAATTATTTCTTAGGAATATAAAATTTTGTACTACGCACATAAAGTGGCTGGCGTCAGTTACTAATAAATATATATTTCTTAAACTAAAATTAAAATTCAATTTGAAATAGTAGCAACATTTTTATTGCATATGTAGACCAATATGAAGTAAATGTCTAATAGATTTAGGTCAAAATTATTATAAATTTACATTAGTTTTATAAAATAATAATTTTACGATATTATCGAATAAAATATTAGGTTTAATTAATAAATAAATTTAGAGAAATGGCGTCCCAGAATCGAACCTACTAACATTAAAAATTTTAATTTAATATTCAACAATTTTATTTTGTTCATGGGCGAAACAGTATACTCTGTTATGTCCATGGTACTGCTCATATTTATAGGCGACGGTTACCACTTTCCATCAAGTGGGCCATCAGCTTGTTTGCCATTCTAAGTTGCATAAAAAAACCTTTTCTATTTTTTTAATGGAATGGTAACTCGTATGGTAATTAGTCTGCGCTAATGGTAAACGTTAGCGGGGCACCAGGGAGGAATGATAGCTTTGAATGAAAAGGCAATTTAGTTAGTCCTTCGTAATTAATACACATGGAATTTAGCATGATGGCTTCCAGGGGGACCACGTGGAGGTCGACCTGACAGGATATATTGCTAGCAATAGAACTGACAGTCCGCAATACAAGCAATCCTTTCCCCAAAACTTTTCTATTGTTGGTTCACAAACTAATATAATTTATAATGTCATGTTACTTTTATCCATAATCGCATTGTAACTTTACAATTTTGGGGGAGAAGGGATTGTTAATAATTGATATAAGCATCTTTATTGCTAGTAATATACCTTATCAGGTCGACCTCCACGCGGTTCCTGCTGGAAACCATCGTGATTGATTTCTCGTAGTATTTATTCGTCACGATGGGCAAACTGATGTGCTTCATCCTCACCTATCATCATGTTCGAATTAAAATCTGCTGCTAATTTTCGCAACCGTACGTCCTGTAACAAACTAAAGTTCCATCCCAACTATTTGGATGAGTGGCAGTCCTTTATGTGTGTTTTTCAAGGACTTTCTTTTTCACAACCACTCTTTGGAACCAACTTCCATCAGCAGTATTTTCGAACCGATACGTCATCATAACTTTCAAAAAAAGAACATATTCCTTTTAAGAGGCCGACGGCACACCTGCGATGCCTCTGGTGTTGCGGGTAATCATGGGCGGCAGTAGTCACTTACCATCAGGTGAGCCGCATGCTCGTTTGCCACTTGTGTTATAAAAAAAAACCCTCACTGAGCTCCGTCGATCCAATAAAAAAAAAAAACTACAACTTCTTATCATTAGGTATGTGTTTTATAATGGTTGATTTTGCGATATAGTTTTTAATATTATTACATAGGTACGTAGCTATTAATTATATTAATTAGTTTGATTAAAAATTTCTGCAAAATGTTAGCGTTATCATTGTGATATAGTAGTAAAATATTGATTGATCGTGGTCGTTCACCACTAATTATACTGTGACGCTCATGGTACATCTCATGCATTGCTATTCCTGAGGATTAAGATTTTATACCTACATCTTCATCATCAAATCATCGTCCACTTATCATCGTCCACTATTGAACATAAGTCTCCCCCTTGGGGGGTTTAGCCACGCTTGGCAGGCGGATTGGCAACCGCAGTCAGGCTTTAGAGATGTTTAGGAGCGACGCCGCTGCCTATCCCTCGGCCTCCCTTAGTCGCCTCTTACGACACCCACGGGAAAGCATGGGGTGGTCTATTCTATGCCGGGACCACGCGGCCGATCTCTATTTTCATACTTTGTCATTTTACAGTCGTATTTTACTTTTAAACCAAAACACAGCTATGCCAGTACGGCAGATATAGTAGTGGGACAGTCTTACCCATGTAGACGACTGTTTACAGTTTTTCCTCAGGTAAAATAACCAAAACAGGTTTAGAATTGGTAATAGCAGAAAATACATCAATTAATATTGTATTACACAAAAAAAAAAAATTGTAAAAATTGCATAACTTAAAAATAATTTACTGGACTGTGAATATGATCAAATTTCTATGAGACCAATCTGTAAGTACTATATATATATATATATTTTATACAACTTAGAATGGCAAACAAGCTGACGGCCCACCTGATGGAAAGTGGTAACCGTCGCCTATAGACATGAGCAGTACCATGGCCATAACAGAGTATACTGTTTCGCTCATGATACCCCCCATGCGTTACCATTCCTGAGGACTCAGGTGTTATTCCTCTGTACCCAGTAAATTCACGCCATATCCCACCCTTCAAACCGAAACACAGCCATGCCAACACAACTGCTTCACGGTTGAAACACGAATGGGACAGAGGTATCCAAGCAATTGACTTTTGTGCAGTCCCTCTGGTTATCCTTTCAGATTAAAAAAATATTTTTTCAAATTGGTTTTCAATTGAAAGAATTGTAGGGTATCAAACATAAAAAAAATACGCTCAAATTGAGAACCTTGTTCTTTTTGAAGTCAGTCGTAAATACAGTTCAAATTGAGAGTTTTTCTTTTGGGAGTCCCATAAAAAACTGTCATAAACACATTGTATTTTTTCTCGAACATCATATATAATATCTTATAGTACAATTTATATTAATTACAAGGTCGTGTAATTGGAATTAGTGTCCACCATTAGCCGATAACATTAACAAATTTGATTCGTATTACGTTTCAGAATTAAAAATTTTAAATCACGGTCATTAAACGGAAAATCTGTAAATCGATAAATATTATCTTGCAGACGATTCATTTTTTGTAATATTGAACGATTATGATAAGATATATATATGTATATATATTAAGTATTAGACGATAAAATATAACATCTGGGTGTACGTTTATAATGGTCGTATCTTATGAAGAGTAAACATGGCTGCGAGGAATTTACTCCCGATCGTGATTGCGCTGTGTCTCGGAGCAGTCAGCGCGGGAAAACATGACATTTATTCTGGGTAATTCTTTCATATCTTATATAATAAAATTACGTATAAAGATATTCCCTTATATGTAAAAAGGTCCAATATGTAATGAATGGTAACCCCGCCTGCGCTAACGGGATACGCTGGCGGTGCACCAGTGAAGGGTGATAGATGAGAATGAAAACAGGCCAGTTAGCCCATCATGATGAATTCATCAAGAATTAACCATGATAGTTTCCAGGGGGAACCGCGAGGAGGTCGACTTGGTTGGGTATATTGCTAGCAATGGGATTCTTAGTCTCCATTACTAACAATCCCTTTCCTCCCAATTTTAGCTATTGAAGTCTTTTTGTTTTAGTCTTTCGCGTTATATTCTCAATTTGAAAGGAAGTGACATGCATTATAGAGGACTATAAAATCTAAGGCAGCTAAGTGCCATAAGATCGATTTTATTTTAACTCTGTACTCAAAT